TACATTTAAGTATTAAATAATATTATTTATCCCAAGTGGTAACAGTTGCATTGGCGGTCACTGCTTTAGTTTATACAGTTTTTTTCAAACTACGGGGAAAATATATTATGGCAAAAGTGAAAAAACATTTTGGAAATTTGACTGATGCACTGAATGTCCAGTTGGTTTGAAGGACACAGGAAGAACTTACACATGATACATTTCTCAGTGTAAGACTCTTTAATGTACGTTTATCTCTCATCCTGTTGCATTCCTCTCTTCCTCACTCTTCTAAACCTCCTCCAGCTCCTTCCTGTTGTTTTGAAGCTACGCACTGACAGACCACATACCAATGAATCGACTGATGTAATTGATTACCTGTGATTAATCCGTTTCCTTCTCTGCACTCTATTTGTGATAAGAGCGTGATGAGCCTCCCAGTGGGACGTCCCAGTGAGAACCCCCTGTGTGCCCTGCGCTTATGGCCTAAGAGCATTACCCGGCCTTAAACGGCTCCGCCTCTGCCTGAACTCTCCTCACAGACATTAAGCAGGAGACGCTGAGGTCAAAGCACTTTCACACACACACATTTGTTTAATGGTAACTTTAATGACACAGCATTCACCTTTTTATTTACAAAATAATAACGCTGTATTCTTACTCTCATGTTCAAACTGGTGCAATGCCGAGTCTAGCTGTTTGCATTTAGGATGATTACTTGGATGCCCGTCTTGCTACCTTTATCACTGTTTGGTTTGTGATTTAGTTTTAGTTTTATTGTCCTGCTGACCGGATCACCGCTCCAGCCAGGTCAGGGTGGGATAGCGGTCGCTGAGGTTCTTTCGCAGCTGTGTGCTCTGTGCTCTGTCCTGGGTCTCCACCACACACTCCACCTGCACAAACCACACCCTTTACACTTCTGAGAAATGTATTTTAGTTTCCTGTTAGAGTCTGTGCCGTTACCTTAGTTTTAAAGAGGTCAGACTTGTCTCCCTGCCCCCGATGGCACACGTCTAACAGCCTGAACACACAAATACAACACAGGTCTCAACATCGTTAGGCCCCGTTTAGACGGAGACAATGCAGCAGTAAAACGCTACTTTAAAAAAATGTTCATGTTCAGAAAGCTTAAGTGTAACTTCAGACTGGTAGACTCCCCACACGTCACCGCACCAGGCTGGGCCTTTCCTTCCTCAGCCAATCACATCAGCTTCATCAACTCCCCTGCCTGCCGTGCTAATCAAACCAGTGCTTAAAAGCAGGACACCGCACACCGAAAGTTGCAAAACCATCTCCTCCGCCTCAGGATTTCATCGCTCACATCCGCCGTGTTGTCACCAATTCAATTCAATGTATTCTTTTATTTCCCTGAATCACAGTCACCAGTGCTTAGGCTCCGGGATCATTATCCTCATCAAGCATCGACACAGAGAGGCCACAGCTTTTGTCTTGGAAGACTTTACAAACTTTTGAAATCTCCAACAAAACGACCACATAGAAGCCATTGTTCCATAGTGACCACTGTACATAAATATAAATGTCCTTAAATGTCCTGGATCATGACTGTCCTTAGTCCTTCCAGCATCAACAAGGAAGAAGCTGGAAGGACTCAAAAAAAGCCAGAGTGGGTTAATGTCAATGTTGTAAATGTCTTAATAACAGCTAATAACGTATTATTTCTAAATAACTAGATCATTGCGTGTCCACAGCGGCCTCACCTGACGTCCTCTCGTGACAGCGTGTCCAGGAGCTTGGCCAGGTCTCCGGGCCACTCCCCGATCTGAACCGAGAACTTACTGACCCGGTCGTCTAGGACCAGGGCCCGGTCCATGCACTGACGGACCAGGTCCAGGGCCATGTTAGCACTGCTCACCACCACCGCCACTCTGCACACACAGTATATATATACACACACACACACGCACGCACACAGTTTGGAGATTAGAGAGACATATTTCAGAATTTGACTATTTTCTCATAAGTATAAAGTGAAAGTAGCAAAGATCACGCAGCAGCAGCTAATGTTAGCGACGACCCTCACCTCCTCCCTTTGAATTCAGACATCTGTCCCGTCATGATGGCCGCCAGCCCCATGGCCGCCTCCGTGTCCACCGTGGTGCGTTCAAACTCCTGGAACCGCAACATTGCCACGAGCGCGTCCTCCTCGCTGGAAACATTATAACACACATTACTGTCACACACCTGCTTTAGACATATTCTATACCAACCTGACTGCGAGGACTTTATCCACACATTTCTTGCAAAGTTGAAAAGTGTTTTCTCCCAACGAAAACTCTGCGATATCTGCAAACAAGACAGTTTATTTATCAGCACGGTCTTAAACATGTTTATAATAATGACCTCTGTCTTAAACATGTTTATAATAATGACCTCTGTCTTAAACATGTTTATAATAATGACCTCTGTCTTAAACATGTTTATAATAATTACCTCCGTAGAGTTTCTTGTTGGGGCTGCTCTGTAGGTCTAGAACCGGTCCATCTGTTTTTAAAGACTGAAGCAGCAGAGGAAAACCTTCTGGTTCGACTCCCTGAAGGAAAACATGACAAACACTTTGGGTTAGAACCTTTTCAGCTCATACCTGCCCTTTTAAATTATATTTATCTTATTTATTTGATAATGGGTAACGTAAAGAACTGTGGAAATGTCTCTGATTCATGGGTTCAGCTTGTGATGATTCTTCATCCAATTAAAATATATATGTCTGTTATAAAATATATGTCTGTTATAAAATGTATTTATTTATGGTCCGCAGAGCTGAACGGTTAAAATACAGTCCATGTAGAAGTATACGTCTGGACATGACACTGTTAAAGCTTTTCAGCCGAAAGATACTCTCATATAAAAGCAAAAAAGTGTTCTGACTGTGAGCGGGTTTGCATCTCCTCAAGTCTGGCTCATTTATTCTGTCGGAGAGCTCCCTCCAGCTGTAACTGCTCTCACTGTAAGGTCTACAGATAAAAGTACAGATTTATCCAAAGATATTTTCATTAAAAAGACCAAACGTAATAAGTATCTAAATCAGGCATGTCTGAACCAACAGTGGCCCTCTCCTTTACTGACCCCAAATTAGCCATTGTAATCACAGACATACATTTTGTGTCCTCCAGCCAACTTCATCTCCTCCAATACAAACATGCTATACCATCAGAACCACCAACATGTGTTTTGGACTCATGTATGTGAATCATTGTGAATCATTGTGGACATTATTCCTTAGAACAGACTGAATCCAACCCAATCTGGACCAGGGACCGGTCTGGTGAACTAAAGAGGCCCTGTCACTGAGAGTCTGGCCCCGCCTTGTTCTAAACCCAAGATCTTGAACCCATCAGTCTCTTTTAGATTGTAATCATTACCTACAGGGGCATATTATAGCTCCTCAGTTTAGGCTGAACAAATAAGTATATCTGTATATGTGTACGTGTGTATAATTGTATATCTGTATATGTGTACGTGTGTATAATTGTATATCTGTATATGTGTACGTGTGTATAATTGTATATGTGTACGTGTGTTTAATTGTATATCTGTATATGTGTACGTGGTACGTGTGTATAATTGTATATCTGTATATGTGTACGTGTGTTTAATTGTATATCTGTATATGTGTACGTGGTACGTGTGTATAATTGTATATCTGTATATGTGTACGTGTGTATAATTGTATATCTGTATATGTGTACGTGTGTATAATTGTACATGTGTATATTTGTGCTGCCCACACACACAGTGCTCCGTGAGGGACTTACTATGACTTGAATGCGTGAGTTCAGGTGCTTGATGGCAGCAGCGGTACCGGCCAGAAGCTCGTAGTGTCCCGCGGCAGGAACCAGGACCGCGTCCACTTTAGAGACCTGCTCCAGAACCTCCAGCCCCACGGTGCCCAGGCCAGCCACGTACGCCTCCCGCTCCCCTCTGCACACATCAGGCTCAGGCACTGATAGACACAGTCCCTCCAGTCTGTCCTGGTCCTCCCTATGGTGCTCCCTATGGTGCTCCCTATGGTCCTCCCTATGGTCCTCCCTCCTGGTGGGACCTGGCCTGCCACCATCATGACTATAGTGTTTATAGTTGTTATGCAGTATTTATGGTGCAGGCCTGGTCCCACCTTTAGATTCAGTCCAGTTTTGGTTAAATCTAAACAATAATCACATCTTGTTTTCAAAAAGATCAGCTAAAAAATACTAGTGAATCTCATGTCACATACAAGTATTGTCAAAACACAATCATAATGTAAATGTAAGAAAAGTACTTCCCTTCTGTTCTTTTGGCCCTGACAGTTCCTATTGTTTGGCCCTGACCAAAGAGACTTTAGACTAATGCCATGTCCCTTTAGGAGTAAAGAGACATGGCATCTCTCTCACATGTTTGTCTGTAGTTCTGTCCTGATTGGTCTCTGGGTGGACTGGGACTTACTCTTCCAGGTACAGGTACTGGTTATCGTGGGCCAGGTGGCGTGCGTGTTTGCGTGCGTCCTGATTGGTGCTGCCGTAGGAGATGACCATGGCGCCGTAGTCCCTGTAAACCCGGAGGCGTGGAGCCGTGCACGCCGACGGCATGATGACGAACACCGGGATCTTCAGCTCCACGGCGTGATGAGCCACGGCCAGAGAGAAGTTACAGTCTGTGGCCACGATCACGCCTTTCCTCTGCTCCTCCTGCACCACACGTTTACAACACGCTACACTTAACAACACGCTACACTTAACAACACGCTACACTTAACAACATTCATTCTGTTATGTTGGTGCAAAATGTTTTATACTTTTATTCATGTGTGTTTTTAACCTTTTGTCACTTGCACCACGTGACAACAATTAGAACCTGTGTCTTGGTCCAAAAGGCCGTGGCCACGAGAAGGACTCTGTTTTAGCTTTAGCTTGTTTTTAGCTCATGGTTTTAGTGCTTTTTATCCTTTTATTTGTATTTTATATTAAATCATTTTAACTTATTTTAAACTCAGTGGTCCTTTTTAAAACCGGGTCCAAAGAATCTTTTCTGGATGTGACAGTTCTGTTTTCCACTGGGTGAAAAAAAACCTAATTATTATCAATATTTAAACTTCAGGACATTTACAACTGCTGACTTTGCATCTCTCCCTGGACACTGCAGTCCGAGGTCCAGTCCGAGGTCCAGTCCGAGGTTCAGTCCGAGGTTCAGTCCAAGGTCCAGTCCAAGGTCCAGTCCGAGGTCCAGTCCGAGGTCCAGTCCGAGGTCCAGTCCGAGGTTCAGTACGAGGTTCAGTCCGAGGTTCAGTCCGAGGTCCAGTCCGAGGTTCAGTACGAGGTTCAGTCCAAGGTCCAGTACAAGGTTTAGTCCAAGGTCCAGTCCGAGGTCCAGTCCGAGGTCCAGTCCGAGGTCCAGTCCGAGGTCCAGTCCGAGGTTCAGTACGAGGTTCAGTCCGAGGTTCAGTCCGAGGTCCAGTCCGAGGTTCAGTACGAGGTTCAGTCCAAGGTTCAGTCCGAGGTCCAGTCCGAGGTTCAGTACGAGGTCCAGTCCGAGGTTCAGTCCCAGGTTCAGTCCCAGGTTCAGTCCCAGGTTCAGTCCCAGATTCAGTCCCAGGTTCAGTCTGAGGTTCAGTCCGAGGTTCAGTCCGAGGTACAGTCCGAGGTTGAGGTTCAGTCCGAGATTGAGGTTCAGTCCGAGGTACAGTCCGAGGTTGAGGTTCAGTCCGAGGTACAGTCCGAGGTTGAGGTTCAGTCCGAGATTGAGGTTCAGTCCGAGGTACAGTCCGAGGTTGAAGTTCAGTCCGAGGTACAGTCCGAGGTTGAGGTTCAGTCCGAGGTACAGTCCGAGGTTGAGGTTCAGTCCGAGGTTCAGTCCGAGATTGAGGTTCAGTCCGAGGTACAGTCCGAGGTTGAGGTTCAGTCCGAGATTCAGTCTGAGGTTCAGTCCTAGGTTCAGTCCTAGGTTCAGTCGGAGGTTCAGTCGGAGGTTCAGTCCGAGATTCAGTCTGAGGTTGAGGTTCAGTCCGAGATTCAGTCTGAGGTTCAGTCCTAGGTTCAGTCCGAGGTTCAGTCGGAGGTTCAGTCGGAGGTTCAGTCCGAGGTACAGTCCGAGGTTGAGGTTCAGTCCGAGATTCAGTCTGAGGTTCAGTCCTAGGTTCAGTCCGAGGTACAGTCCGAGGTTGAGGTTCGGTCCGAGATTCAGTCGGAGGTTCAGTCCTAGGTTCAGTCCTATCTTCAGTCCTAGGTTCAGTCCTAGGTTCAGTCGGAGGTTCAGTCGGAGGTTCAGTCCTAGGTTCAGTCCGAGATTCAGTCGGAGGTTCAGTCGGAGGTTCAGTCGGAGGTTCAGTCCAAGGTTCAGTCCGAGGTCCAGTCCGAGGTTCAGTACGAGGTCCAGTCCGCGGTTCAGTCCCAGGTTCAGTCCCAGGTTCAGTCCCAGGTTCAGTCTGAGGTTCAGTCCGAGGTTCAGTCCGAGGTACAGTCCGAGGTTGAGGTTCAGTCCGAGGTACAGTCCGAGGTTGAGGTTCAGTCCGAGGTTCAGTCCGAGATTGAGGTTCAGTCCGAGGTTGAGGTTCAGTCCGAGGTACAGTCCGAGGTTGAGGTTCAGTCCGAGATTGAGGTTCAGTCCGAGGTACAGTCCGAGGTTGAGGTTCAGTCCGAGGTACAGTCCGAGGTTGAGGTTCAGTCCGAGATTGAGGTTCAGTCCGAGGTACAGTCCGAGGTTGAAGTTCAGTCCGAGGTACAGTCCGAGGTTGAGGTTCAGTCCGAGGTACAGTCCGAGGTTGAGGTTCAGTCCGAGATTGAGGTTCAGTCCGAGGTACAGTCCGAGGTTGAGGTTCAGTCCGAGATTCAGTCTGAGGTTCAATCCTAGGTTCAGTCGGAGGTTCAGTCGGAGGTTCAGTCCTAGGTTCAGTCCTATCTTCAGTCCTAGGTTCAGTCCTAGGTTCAGTCGGAGGTTCAGTCGGAGGTTCAGTCCTAGGTTCAGTCGGAGGTTCAGTCCTAGGTTCAGTCCTAGGTTCAGTCCTAGGTTCAGTCCTAGGTTCAGTCCTAGGTTCAGTCCTAGGTTCAGTCGGAGGTTCAGTCCTAGGTTCAGTCCTAGGTTCAGTCCTAGGTTCAGTCGGAGGTTCAGTCCTAGGTTCAGTCGGAGGTTCAGTCGGAGGTTCAGTCGGAGGTTCAGTCCTAGGTTCAGTCCTAGGTTCAGTCCTAGGTTCAGTCGGAGGTTCAGTCCTAGGTTCAGTCCTAGGTTCAGTCCTACAGTAGGTTCAGTCCTAGGTTCAGTCCTAGGTTCAGTCCTACAGTAGGTTCAGTCCTAGGTTCAGTCCTAGGTTCAGTCCAAGGTTCAGTCCTAGGTTCAGTCGGAGGTTCAGTCGGAGGTTCAGTCCTAGGTTCAGTCCTAGGTTCAGTCCTAGGTTCAGTCCTAGGTTCAGTCCTAGGTTCAGTCCTAGGTTCAGTCGGAGGTTCAGTCCTAGGTTCAGTCCTAGGTTCAGTCCTAGGTTCAGTCCTAGGTTCAGTCCTAGGTTCAGTCGGAGGTTCAGTCCTAGGTTCAGTCGGAGGTTCAGTCGGAGGTTCAGTCCTAGGTTCAGTCCTAGGTTCAGTCCTAGGTTCAGTCGGAGGTTCAGTCCTAGGTTCAGTCCTAGGTTCAGTCCTACAGTAGGTTCAGTCCTAGGTTCAGTCCTAGGTTCAGTCCTAGGTTCAGTCGGAGGTTCAGTCCTAGGTTCAGTCCTAGGTTCAGTCCTACAGTAGGTTCAGTCCTAGGTTCAGTCCTAGGTTCAGTCCAAGGTTCAGTCCTAGGTTCAGTCCTAGGTTCAGTCCTAGGTTCAGTCCTACAGTAGGTTCAGTCCTAGGTTCAGTCCTAGGTTCAGTCCTACAGTAGGTTCAGTCCTAGGTTCAGTCCTAGGTTCAGTCCAAGGTTCAGTCCTAGGTTCAGTCGGAGGTTCAGTCGGAGGTTCAGTCCTAGGTTCAGTCCTAGGTTCAGTCCTAGGTTCAGTCCTAGGTTCAGTCCAAGGTTCAGTCCTAGGTTCAGTCGGAGGTTCAGTCGGAGGTTCAGTCACACAAAGAATACTGATTATTTCACACTCCACATGTACAGTATGTTTGAGGTGTGAGTAACTGAGTGCTTTACACCAGGACCCGGGGCCTCACAGCAGTGGGTCAAAGTGCATAAGAAGCTTGAGCGGCTCTGATCCTCATTAGACTTCAGCTTCTGTCTGAGACTTAGGGCTGTACAGTGTTTACACACACTCTAAAAACTGCTAATACTTTATAATTGGTTAAACCCATGTTGGGACCAGTATATTACATTAGCATTAGCATTAGCATCAGCTGGAGCTGGACCAAAGTACATTAAAAACACTGTAGTCCATGTAAAGTCTGATCTGTCGGAGCTCAGCAAAACACTGTCAGTCTGATCTAAAAGTGAAGGATTAAAAACATTCTAAAGACTCATTTGCACCGATTAGCTGCGACCAGGGCTAATCAGTGGAAACCCGTTTATAGATCTGTTGTTTTAACCAAAAGACACATATATTTACCAACTGTGTTTAGGTTCAGTTCAGTTTCATCATTCTTTGTTTTTCTTCTTCATTTTTCTTGGTAAACTGTGTCCAATGATTCTTGGAACATATTGTTTTTCACAACTAGCTGTAAAGGCTAAGCTAAAGAGTGCTAACAGCTGTGAGCAGAGACTGGGCTGTACCTGTGATAGAGAGGACAGCACAGACTGTACCTGTGATAGTGACTGTACCTGTGATAGTGACTGTACCTGTGATAGAGAGGACAGCACAGACTGTACCTGTGATAGAGAGGACAGCACAGACTGTACCTGTGATAGAGAGGACAGCACAGACTGTACCTGTGATAGAGAGGACAGCACAGACTGTACCTGTGATAGAGAGGACAGCACAGACTGTACCTGTGATAGTGACTGTACCTGTGATAGAGAGGACAGCACAGACTGTACCTGTGATAGTGACTGTACCTGTGATAGTGACTGTACCTGTGATAGAGAGGACAGCACAGACTGTACCTGTGATAGAGAGGACAGCACAGACTGTACCTGTGATAGTGACTGTACCTGTGATAGAGAGGACAGCACAGACTGTACCTGTGATAGAGAGGACAGCACAGACTGTACCTGTGATAGAGAGGACAGCACAGACTGTACCTGTGATAGAGAGGACAGCACAGACTGTACCTGTGATAGAGAGGGCAGCACAGACTGTACCTGTGATAGTGACTGTACCTGTGATAGAGAGGACAGCACAGACTGTACCTGTGATAGAGAGGGCAGCACAGACTGTACCTGTGATAGTGACTGTACCTGTGATAGAGAGGACAGCACAGACTGTACCTGTGATAGAGAGGACAGCACAGACTGTACCTGTGATAGTGACTGTACCTGTGATAGTGACTGTACCTGTGATAGAGAGGACAGCACAGACTGTACCTGTGATAGAGAGGACAGCACAGACTGTACCTGTGATAGAGAGGACAGCACAGACTGTACCTGTGATAGAGAGGACAGCACAGACTGTACCTGTGATAGAGAGGACAGCACAGACTGTACCTGTGATAGTGACTGTACCTGTGATAGAGAGGACAGCACAGACTGTACCTGTGATAGAGAGGACAGCACAGGCTGTACCTGTGATAGAGAGGACAGCACAGACTGTACCTGTGATAGAGAGGACAGCACAGACTGTACCTGTGATAGAGAGGACAGCACAGGCTGTACCTGTGATAGTGACTGTACCTGTGATAGTGACTGTACCTGTGATAGTGACTGTACCTGTGACAGAGAGGACAGCACAGACTGTACCTGTGATAGAGAGGACAGCACAGACTGTACCTGTGATAGTGACTGTACCTGTGATAGAGAGGACAGCACAGACTGTACCTGTGATAGAGAGGACAGCACAGACTGTACCTGTGATAGAGAGGACAGCACAGACTGTACCTGTGATAGAGAGGGCAGCACAGACTGTACCTGTGATAGAGAGGACAGCACAGACTGTACCTGTGATAGAGAGGACAGCACAGGCTGTACCTGTGATAGAGAGGACAGCACAGACTGTACCTGTGATAGAGAGGACAGCACAGACTGTACCTGTGATAGAGAGGACAGCACAGACTGTACCTGTGATAGTGACTGTACCTGTGATAGTGACTGTACCTGTGATAGTGACTGTACCTGTGACAGAGAGGACAGCACAGACTGTACCTGTGATAGAGAGGACAGCACAGGCTGTACCTGTGATAGAGAGGACAGCACAGACTGTACCTGTGATAGAGAGGACAGCACAGACTGTACCTGTGATAGAGAGGACAGCACAGACTGTACCTGTGATAGTGACTGTACCTGTGATAGAGAGGACAGCACAGACTGTACCTGTGATAGTGACTGTACCTGTGATAGAGAGGACAGCACAGACTGTACCTGTGATAGTGACTGTACCTGTGATAGTGACTGTACCTGTGATAGAGAGGACAGCACAGACTGTACCTGTGATAGTGACTGTACCTGTGATAGAGAGGGCAGCACAGACTGTACCTGTGATAGAGAGGACAGCACAGGCTGTACCTGTGATAGAGATGACAGCACAGACTGTACCTGTGATAGAGAGGACAGCACAGACTGTACCTGTGATAGTGATGACAGCACAGACTGTACCTGTGATAGTGACTGTACCTGTGATAGTGACTGTACCTGTGATAGTGACTGTACCTGTGATAGTGACTGTACCTGTGATAGTGACTGTACCTGTGATAGTGATGACAGCAGGTACAGAGCTCCTCTCTCCTTCACAGAGCCGGTGTAGTGGAGGTGTTCCTTCTTCAGGTAGATCTCCATCCCGTACTGTTTGGACAGTCTGGAGTACTGCACAAACAACAACAACAACAACAACAAGTCATAAACAAGAGCTGTATGAGATGGAGCAAAGTGGTGCAGAGAAGTGAAAGTTTAGTTTGGGATTTTTAAAGTTTCTAAAACACACTTTAAAACAGCTCATGTGGTCATCAGTCCGCTGATCTATTCCACACAAGCTTTAATCTTTTACTTTTTAAACTCTCAAAATCCTTTTAAACTGATCCTTGACTTCTGGAACCTGGAGAAGGGCGCTCACTTTGCAGTTCAAGGACGCTGCCGTTATGTCATAGATCTATGATCATAGATCTATGATCATGTCTGGATCAAGTATTTGTATCTTTTGAAATCCTCTGATTGGTCATAATACACACGTGTTTCTCTCGTCGCCCAAATCATAACTACAAGTTTCATCGCTCTCTCCATCTCTTTCTCTCTCTCTTTCATCCTTAGTATTTATTGTCATTCTTCTGCAGCTGCTTTTACAAACACAGCTGTGGGAAGTTATTACATGTCGCTTTGTTCAGTTGTTTTTCCTCTGAACCTGGATTTATACTTGAGAGCAGCCACGCACAACCTTTGTTTGCAGCAGGATCAGCCGCTGGTGCCGCGGGGAGCACAGACCCCTCCAGAGGAACAAGGGGAAGGCCCACAGTGGCATCATGGGAAACGTGCACTTCCTCACTGTGTTTTTCATCACCACACTGACACTGAACTGCTCACAAACAGTGCACGTGACACTCTCCGCGGGGGGTCTCTCTGGATCAGGACTTATATTTGTGCGTTAGCTACATCAGCCCCATTCATTTAACGAGTGCATTCTGAAGTCCACAGCGACTAAACTAGACTGGTCCAAAAACATACACTTCCCTCAGCATCAACAGCATCTGGAACCAGGAGGACCAAGAACCACTTTTGGACCAAGAACCTCTTTTGGACCAAGAACCACTTTTGGACCAGGTAACAATACATTGGATAATTCTGGTACCAGGTACAACACCATGGAGTCAGTTACCATAGCAACACACTTAGCATTTGGTCAAACAGAAGAACTAGTCCGTCCTGAGCCGTACCGTGCAGGGCGTCTTCTGGATGTTGCTCTGGATCTTAAACGCCGCGGCGCTGATGTCCTCAAAGCGCAGGAAGGGCACCGGAGGCCGCGGCACGAACTGACTGCGGCGCCGTGTCTTTGGGGGTTCCCTGAGGACCACCGGGGGCCGCTCCGTCACCGTGGCCACATGTGCCCGGAGGTCCCCGTTCTGCAGCGGCTCCTCTTCCCCAAAGTCCTTGAGACGGTGCGGCTCGATGAGGGTGGGTCTGCGGCGCCCGTTACTCACCGGACCCTTGCACACGGCGGCGGCGGAGAGGCCCAGGCGCACCTCCTCTCTGCGGGGGACATCAGCAACACCCATCAGCTCTGGAAACATCCTTCACTTCACTTGGGATAGTAAGTAATTCAATATGTTTTTTAATAATACATTTAATTTCAAAACACCCACTGTGCACTCTACAAACATGGTTCAAAACAACATTAGCATGATCAAAAAACAAAACAACAGAACTGGACAAAGGTGTTGGGGACTCATGGGGAAAGAAAGGCCCAAATCAAGTCTCTGAGGACTTTATATCGTTTTTGATTCACCAACAACAGATCAGAGAATCAAACCGTTCGAACGCAAGAACTCATTGGAGTTAAAACAGTTACTCCATAAACTCTGCTCTGACAACCGGCAAACTCTAAAACCACAAACATAAATACATATACATACATTAGACGCACCGCTATACAAGCCGCAGGATCAACAAATGAGAAACGCTAACGGAGCCCGTGGGGAGCAGCGCCACAATCTTTCCAGAGATTACATTTGCTAAACATTCCTCTTGCTCCAGCTTCAGTTTCTTGATAGAAACAGACCGGAATACTTTACTATCACATTCTTCACCAAACTACAACCTGCCCGTTCGGCGCAAACTCTTAACGTCACCAAAAACTAACTAAAAAGATACAATAAATCTTGTTAGATTTGTAAACAAGATGGTAAGGGACCTAATTTCTGAGCTTTCTGAGTAAAAACATTGTGTACAAGTCCCACCAAGTCTATCTGGGACTCTGAGGAGCACAGGGACTGGCCTCCTGCTGGGACTCTGAGGAGCACAGGGACTGGCCTCCTGCTGGGACTCTGAGGAGCACAGGGACTGGCCTCCTGCTGGGACTCTGAGGAGCACAGGGACTGGCCTCCTGCTGGGACTCTGAGGAGCACAGGGACTGGACTCCTGCTGGGACTCTGAGGAGCACAGGGACTGGCCTCCTGCTGGGACTCTGAGGAGCACAGGGACCGGCCTCCTGCTGGGACTCTGAGGAGCACAGGGACTGGCCTCCTGCTGGGACTCTGAGGAGCACAGGGACTGGCCTCCTGCTGGAACTCTGAGGAGCACAGGGACTGGCCTACTGCTGGGACTCTGAGGAGCACAGGGACTGGCCTCCTGCTGGGACTCTGAGGAGCACAGGGACTGGCCTCCTGCTGGGACTCTGAGGAGCACAGGGACTGGCCTCCTGCTGGGACTCTGAGGAGCACAGGGACTGGCCTCCTGCTGGGACTCTGAGGAGCACAGGGACTGGTCTTCAGTCTATGGTCAGGAATAAAGGGAATAAAGGGAGGTAGTCTTCCTGAAAATGTGAGACAGACTTCTATCTCTGGCAGTGTTCAGATTAAAGCACTTCTGTTGACAGACGACTGAAGGACTGTGTCTTCACTCTTTTAATGTAGTGGGATTATTTAAGATTTGAATACATTTTCTTGTTTGGTTAAGCACTTTGAGTTGGGTTATGGATCTGATGGACTTTGTTATTTACAAAAGGTGCATTCTGGTTCAAATAGTAAAATAAATCCAAAATGGAGGACCAATCCCACCGCTGTGTCTGAGCCACTGAGTACACAACACACATAATATCCTTCAAAATTGGTTGTTTTCAGAATCAAAGTCAGCTCTTGTTCTTCTCCTCTGGTCTCTTCTCCAGAGAGAGACCAGAGAGAAACCAGAGAGAGACCAGAGAGAGAGACCAGAGAGAGAGACCAGAGAGAGAGACCAGAGAGAGAGACCAGAGAGAGAGACCAGAGAGAGAGACCAGAGAGAGAGACCAGAGAGAGAGACCAGAGAGAGAGACCAGCGAGAGAGACCAGCGAGAGACCAGAGAGAGAGACCAGAGAGAGACCAGAGAGAGAGCAGAGAGAGAGACCAGAGACCAGAGAGAGACCAGAGAGAGAGACCAGAGAGAGAGACCAGAGAGAGAGACCAGAGAGACCAGAGAGAGACCAGAGAGACCAGAGAGAGACCAGAGAGACCAGAGAGAGACCAGAGAGAGACCAGAGAGAGAGACCAGAGAGAGAGACCAGAGAGAGAGACCAGAGAGACCAGAGAGAGAGACCAGAGAGAGAGACCAGAGAGAGAGACCAGAGAGAGAGACCAGAGAGAGACCAGAGAGAGACCAGAGAGAGACCAGAGAGAGACCAGAGAGAGACCAGAGAGAGAGACCAGAGAGAGAGACCAGAGAGAGAGAACAGAGAGAGACCAGAGAGAGACCAGAGAGAGACCAGCAAGAGATGAATCGGTGCTTTCCTATTTGTATTTTAAAAGTATCTGAGTCTGTAAAGTGCGTTTCCAAAGTCCAGACGACTCATAGAATAAGTCATAAGTTGTTATTTATCTTGTACATGTTAAATAGCTTGAAGCTTCACATGACTCCTATGCTTCCTTAAAGCTGAGGTACCTAACTCTGCTCTCTTCCTTGTATTAGAAAACATGTTATCTTTTGCATACTTGTAAGAAAGAGCCCTGTGAGTCCCTATTTGACTCTTTGAGCTGATTGGCTGAGTGTGGGTGGTCTTCTATTTTCACTTTTCCGTCTGAAAAAGTTGATCTAAAGATGTGACAGAAGCCAGACATATAAACAGGGATGTGAACAGTAAGAACCATTCTGAAAGTGAAGAACTCGCAGCTGGACTGTATTCCACAGTTACAGACTGTACATACATGTCTAGTGGTTTGAAAGTCAGGTACCCCAGCTTTAAACTTCACACTTGTTTCTTGCTGATGCGAAGGGTCTGTGGACAGAGATGATCCAGGACTCTCCACATTCAACCACATTTATCAGATTACACGTGCTTTAGTGTCTGCTGCTTATGGACCTATGTCTGAGGGTTTTTATCCTTGTGTTTGAAAGGTTTGATTCTCTGATCTGTGTCGGAGAATCGGCAGAAGGAGCCACTACTGTCCTCGATCCAGACTTTATGTTTATCTCTTTAATCCGTTTGTCGCTTTGACCTCAGTCTGAGGCTTCCTTGTTGTAGTGAAAGTGGAAAGTGTAGGATTAGCCGCAGCTTTTATCACAAGTGCGTTCGTCCAAAAGCAAAGTTCAAAAACAACTTCAGAAGAAAAACGACCAAAACGAGGCGTAAAAAATCAAAATAAAAAGTCAACGCTCTGTAATTGGCTTTAATCAAATGTTTGCAGTGGAACAAATACAAAGCGTTTCCTGCTGATCTTTGCCAAAGTGAGAGCAGGGAAACGGGAGTTTTACATTTTTAGCGGTATTTTTATAATTTCATTTTTATCTCATTGCAAAAAAAAAGATGGAAGGTTTTGGCTTAATATGAAAGTGGAGCTTTTTAATGTGGCACTAAAACCTCCTGAAATGTCCTCGTTTCTGCTGAATGTTCAGACTCTGCTGTGTTTCCAGTTTGCTGCAGTTATTGAATCATATTGTTTTGCATAAAGTTAAATCTATAATTACAGACTGATTATAGTTATATCCCCGACCATTATCCATTAAATAGTCTCTGTGCGGTTCATTCTTCCGTTCACTAAACCTCCAACACGACACGTCCTGAATGTAACTGTTATGTCCCCAAATTTAAACACTATTTTTTTGAAAGGCATCTATTTTGACTTGGTTTTGAGCCCATCTGAGATTATCCTGTGTGGAGAAATACTGTATATACACAGGTTCATACATTTATTTTATTGCCTCTTGAAGTACGATCCATGGAACAGTTTAGTTTGGAGTGAGCCGTATACATTATTGAAAACAACTCTTCACCCACGTGAGTTTGCATGTTCTCCCTCTGTCTGTCTGTTTGGGGTATTTTAGGGGAGCTATAGGGTGCAGTGTCCCACCTCTGCCAGAAGGGGTCGTGCTCCTCTCTGTCTCTCAGCGCAGGTTTGGGGGAGAAGATCCTCTCCAGCTGCTCGTTCAGGTATCTGGACAAAAGAAATTGCGCCGCGAAGTTCATCCTGTCCCGTTTGAGGATCCCCCTGAAGCCGAATGTCCCGGAGACAGAGAGAACGATGTCTTCCTCTGCTCCTCTGCTCCTCTCTGCTCCTCTGCTCCTCTCTGCCTCCTCCTTCTCACCAGGATAGGGGGTTTAAGACGGGATTACCCCAGGACACAGGCAGCTCCCTGCCCAGCTCTATTCCTGGTCGTAGACTGGGATAATGCCGATCCTGAGGGTGACGTTGTTAATCAGACAGTCTCGGATCATCAGGTTTATCTGAGCAGAGCGTCGACAAATGAGCCACGAGGAGAGAAGGAAAGGAGAGATCAGGGAAAGTGCAGAAGGCAGGTCAGAGGAAAGGTTTAGGAGGTCATATCCGGCCGGTAAACAATGAAACTCAAGTGCTGAAACAATACAGTCATTAAAATAATAAATTATCGTAGTATATTCAAAAGAATGAAGATAAAAGTCCTTCAGTTGTATGCAGCTAAAAAGAACTGTTTTTGAAAAACGTTTTGACCATTGTCAGAGAAACAGCCCGTCTCACATTTTCAGGAAGACTGTTCCAAGTTTTAGTTGCATAAATCTGAAGTCCTATGTTCTTCCCAGTAATAGCCAACAAGTCATCAGTGTATTTTCTACAGTGAAAAGAAGAAATACTTCCTTTAGTGGTGATCGCTCACATCACCGTCAAAAGGAACACCTTTAAACGAGGAGTGGAAGTTAAACTGCTGCTGGACCTCGGTCCTGTTCCTGAGTCCTACAGCTCCTTCAGGATGAGGAAGACCAACCATCAGACCGACCATCAGGCCAACCATCAGACCAACCATCAGACCAACCATCAGACCAACCATCAGGCCAACCATCAGACCAACCATCAGACCAACCATCAGACCAACCATCAGGCCAACCATCAGGCCAACCATCAGACCAACCATCAGACCAACCATCAGGCCAACCATCAGGCCAACCATCAGACCAACCATCAGACCAACCATCAGGCCAACCATCAGACCAACCATCAGACCAACCATCAGACCAACCATCAGGCCAACCATCAGACCAACCATCAGGCCAACCATCAGACCAACCCTCATGGACACTCTCATGGACACTCTCATGGACACCCTCATGGACACTCTCATGGACACCCTCACGGACACCCTTACGGACACTCTCATGGACACCCTCACGGACACCCTTACGGACACTCTCATGGACACCCTCATGGACACCCTCATGGACACTCTCATGGACACTCTCATGGACACCCTCAGGGACACCCTCATGGACACCCTCATGGACACCCTCATGGACACTCTCATGGACACCCTCATGGACACCCTCATGGACACCCTCATGGACACCCTCAGGGACACTCTCATGGACACCCTCATGGACACCCTCATGGACACCCTCATGGACACCCTCAGGGACGTGTCTGAAGATGCAGGAGGCGGAGCCTGTGGTCCCAGAGCAGTATTTACAACTACACTTTCCAACAAAAGTGCTGAAACTTTATATATTTTTTCATTTTCACTGCTTGTTTTTGTCTCCTTTTCTTTAAAGTTTTTCTCTAACCACTTTCACAATCTTCGACCTTTATGTTCAAAGAAATAGTGTTGGTTTTATTTGATAAAGTTAAGCAACCTTCTCCTTAACTGTCATGTTTGTTACGCCCTCTGCAGGTGAAAGCCAGACGTCAGATGGATGCCACGCCCCCCTCTGCCCCCCCCCCCATACTAACTCCTCCCTCATGGATGCCACACCCTGCCACGCCCCCCTCTGGCCCTGCCCCCCCAGACTAACTCCTCCCCCTGGATACCACGCCCCCTGGATGCCACAACCTGCCACGCCCCCCTCCGGCCCCGCCCCCGGACTAACTCCTCCCCCCTGGATGCCACGCCCCCTTCTGGCCCCGCCCCCCGGACAGACTCCTCCCTCCTGGTGCCACGGCCCGCCTCCCCACACTCAGTCCACAGAGTAAGAAGCTGTAATCCCGTTAACAGACAGCCGCCCACGGAGCAGTGCTCAGGGAGAAGGGAACTGTATCAGGAAGCTACACCGTATAAAAGGTATAAAAGATATAAAAGGTATAAAACATATAAAAGATATAAAAGGTATAAAAGGTAAACCAAAACCGTATAAAAGGTAAAACCAAAATTGTAAGAGAAAAGAAAATTAGAGTAAAGTAAAATAAAAGCTGAAGACAGTCTCTCAATACATCTATGAGTTTGTATTTGTGATTTATAGGGTTTTATACATTCAGTGACCATAAACAAGACAGACCCAAAGGACACATCCTGTTCAAGGCTAAGATACAGAGATCCTTTATCTGACCCACACTGGGGAAATGTCAGTGTTGCATCACAAGTTAGTAAATATAACACATCAAACTTTTTATTCAGCAGTTTAAAAAAATCAGATAAATGTTCAAACTATTTTCAAAACCATAATCTCCTCTGACTGCAGCGTCAGGATTATGGGACTGTTCCTGTAAGACTCATGTTGTTTTAGCGAACCAAACCCATGCTCCCTCCCCTCTCCCCCCTCTCCCCCTCTCCCGCTCTCTCTCTCTCCTCTCTTTCCTCTTACCCCTCTTCTCTCTCTGCCTTTTCCCTTTCTACCCCCCTCCCTCTCCGTTTTACCTCCCTCTCTCCCTCCCCTTTTTACCCCCCATCTCTTTCCTCTCTTTCCTCTCCCCCTTTCTACCCCCTCTTCTCTCTCTCTCTCTTCTCCCTCCCTCTCTTCTCTCCTTCCTCTTAGCCCCCTCTCTCCCTCCCCTTTTTACCCCTCTCTCCCCCTCCCTCTCTCCCCCTCCCCCCTCAGCTCCTCATGTTTGCTTTGGGACCTGGGATTAAACCAAACAGAGGAGGCTCGAGGAGGGAACAGTCTCTTTGTTCAAAACTCTACATTTTTACACTTTTTACTTTAAACTGTCTTCACTGAACCATGCAGCTGCTCAGGACGACCACGCTCTGGCTGCTCTTGCTTCTGATTGGCTGCTCGTCTGCAGGTAAGACACACCTGTGTTAGCTGAAAGATGCTAAACACGTTAGCTTCATACTCAGTCTGAAAGAAAAGCACAGAGAAGTTTTACCATTTTCATGTATTTATGGCAATTTTTACAAACAAAACTAAATTAAAAAGTACATATTATGTACAAAGGTTTTACATTACTTTTATAAACTGTTTTAGAAATGTATTTATTACCAAACCTGATTATGTAAAAAGATCATTCAAATGTTTAAAGGTCTTTCCATTCAGAGCATTTTTGTTCAAATCTTGAATCATAATAATCATTTCTATAATAATTACTAAGTATCTATTTTGTACGTGGCCTTTTTAGGACAATAAAATAACATTAAAATAATTCAGATCCATTTTCCTGCTGTAAAACCAAATACAAACGGCTTCTAATCTATTTTCTAAACTATTGACGAGCTTTTGGTTTTTTTTACTTTTTACCCACTTTGCTCCAACATACAGCCTCCAAAACACAGATTAGATTAGATTATAGAACCCTACAAATTAGATTAGATTATAGAACCCTACAGATTAGATTAGATTATAGAACCCTACAGATTAGATTAGATTATAGAACCCTACAGATTAGATTAGGGAACCCTACAGAATAGATTAGATTATAGCAGATTAGATTTGATTATAGAACCCTACAGATTAGATTAGATTATAGAACCCTTTCTTGTCCCTCTGCGTTAACATTTTATTGGAATAATCTTTGGGTCGTTTCACTTTTAGTGCTACATTTGACATTCCACCTTTAGGAACATCTCTGAGCAGCTGAGCACACAAACAAAAATAATAATAAACAGATTATGAATAACCGCTGCATTTGACCCAGTCCTCAATGTTTATCACCAATATCCATCATAAATGTCCCAGATCAGGGAGCGACCCTAAAACCAACTGGACCTGTGCACTAGGGAGCGACCCTAAAACCCACTGGGCCTGTGCACTAGGGAGCGACCCTAAAACCTACTGGACCAGTGCACTAGGGAGCGACCCTAAAACCTACTGGGCCTGTGCACTAGGGAGCGACCCTAAAACCCACTGGACCAGTGCACTAGGGAGCGACCCTAAAACCTACTGGGCCTGTGCACTAGGGAGCGACCCTAAAACCCACTGCGCCTGTGCACTAGGGAGCGACCCTAAAACCCACTGCGCCTGTGCACTAGGGAGCGACCCTAAAACCCACTGGGCCTGTGCACTAGGGAGCGACCCTAAAACCCACTGGGCCTGTGCACTAGGGAGCGACCCTAAAACCCACTGGACCTGTGCACTAGGGAGCGACCCTAAAACCCACTGGACCTGTGCACTAGGGAGCGACCCTAAAACCCACTGGACCTGTGCACTAGGGAGCGACCCTAAAACCTACTGGGCCTGTGCACTAGGGAGCGACCCTAAAACCCACTGGACCTGTGCACTAGGGAGCGACCCTAAAACCCACTGGACCTGTGCACTAGGGAGCGACCCTAAAACCTACTGGGCCTGTGCACTAGGGAGCAACCCTAAAACCCACTGCGCCTGTGCACTAGGGAGCGCCCCTAAAACCCACTGCGCCTGTGCACTAGGGAGCGACCCTAAAACCCACTGGACCTGTGCACTAGGGAGCGACCCTAAAACCCACTGGACCTGTGCACTAGGGAGCGACCCTAAAACCTACTGGACCAGTGCACTAGGGAGCGACCCTAAAACCTACTGGGCCTGTGCACTAGGGAGCGACCCTAAAACCCACTGCGCCTGTGCACTAGGGAGCGACCCTAAAACCCACTGCGCCTGTGCACTAGGGAGCGACCCTAAAACCCACTGGACCTGTGCACTAGGGAGCGACCCTAAAACCCACTGGACCTGTGCACTAGGGAGCGACCCTAAAACCTACTGGACCAGTGTACTAGGGAGCGACCCTAAAACCTACTGGGCCTGTGCACTAGGGAGCGACCCTAAAACCCACTGCGCCTGTGCACTAGGGAGCGACCCTAAAACCCACTGGACCTGTGCACTAGGGAGCGACCCTAAAACCCACTGGACCTGTGCACTAGGGAGCGACCCTAAAACCTACTGGACCAGTGCACTAGGGAGCGACCCTAAAACCTACTGGGCCTGTGCACTAGGGAGCGACCCTAAAACCCACTGCGCCTGTGCACTAGGGAGCGACCCTAAAACCCACTGCGCCTGTGCACTAGGGAGCGACCCTAAAACCCACTGGACCAGTGCACTAGGGAGCGACCCTAAAACCCACTGCGCCTGTGCACTAGGGAGCGACCCTAAAACCCACTGCGCCTGTGCACTAGGGAGCGACCCTAAAACCCACTGGACCTGTGCACTAGGGAGCGACCCTAAAACCCACTGGGCCTGTGCACTAGGGAGCGACCCTAAAACCCACTGGACCTGTGCACTAGGGAGCGACCCTAAAACCCACTGGGCCTGTGCACTAGGGAGCGACCCTAAAACCTACTGGACCAGTGCACTAGGGAGCGACCCTAAAACCTACTGGGCCTGTGCACTAGGGAGCGACCCTAAAACCCACTGCGCCTGTGCACTAGGGAGCGACCCTAAAACCCACTGCGCCTGTGCACTAGGGAGCGACCCTAAAACCCACTGGGCCTGTGCACTAGGGAGCGACCCTAAAACCCACTGGACCTGTGCACTAGGGAGCGACGCTAAAACCCACTGGACCTGTGCACTAGGGAGCGACCCTAAAACCTACTGGGCCTGTGCACTAGGGAGCGACCCTAAAACCCACTGGACCTGTGCACTAGGGAGCGACCCTAAAACCTACTGGGCCTGTGCACTAGGGAGCGACCCTAAAACCCCCTGGACCTGTGCACTAGGGAGCGACCCTAAAACCCACTGGACCTGTGCACTAGGGAGCGACCCTAAAACCCACTGGACCTGTGCACTAGGGAGCGACCCTAAAACCTACTGGACCTGTGCACTAGGGAGCGACCCTAAAACCCACTGGACCTGTGCACTAGGGAGCGACCCTAAAACCTACTGGACCAGTGCACTAGGGAGCGACCCTAAAACCTACTGGGCCTGTGCACTAGGGAGCGACCCTAAAACCCACTGCGCCTGTGCACTAGGGAGCGACCCTAAAACCCACTGCGCCTGTGCACTAGGGAGCGACCCTAAAACCCACTGGACCAGTGCACTAGGGAGCGACCCTAAAACCCACTGGACCTGTGCACTAGGGAGCGACCCTAAAACCCACTGGACCTGTGCACTAGGGAGCGACCCTAAAACCTACTGGACCAGTGTACTAGGGAGCAACCCTAAAACCTACTGGGCCTGTGCACTAGGGAGCGACCCTAAAACCCACTGCGCCTGTGCACTAGGGAGCGACCCTAAAACCCACTGGACCTGTGCACTAGGGAGCGACCCTAAAACCCACTGGACCTGTGCACTAGGGAGCGACCCTAAAACCTACTGGACCAGTGCACTAGGGAGCGACCCTAAAACCTACTGGGCCTGTGCACTAGGGAGCGACCCTAAAACCCACTGCGCCTGTGCACTAGGGAGCGACCCTAAAACCCACTGCGCCTGTGCACTAGGGAGCGACCCTAAAACCCACTGGACCAGTGCACTAGGGAGCGACCCTAAAACCCACTGCGCCTGTGCACTAGGGAGCGACCCTAAAACCCACTGCGCCTGTGCACTAGGGAGCGACCCTAAAACCCACTGGACCTGTGCACTAGGGAGCGACCCTAAAACCCACTGGGCCTGTGCACTAGGGAGCGACCCTAAAACCCACTGGACCTGTGCACTAGGGAGCGACCCTAAAACCTACTGGGCCTGTGCACTAGGGAGCGACCCTAAAACCCACTGGACCTGTGCACTAGGGAGCGACCCTAAAACCCACTGGACCTGTGCACTAGGGAGTGACCCTAAAACTCACTGGGCCTGTGCACTAGGGAGCGACCCTAAAACCTACTGGGCCTGTGCACTAGGGAGCGACCCTAAAACCCACTGGGCCTGTGCACTAGGGAGCGACCCTAAAACCCACTGGGCCTGTGCACTAGGGAGCGACCCTAAAACCCACTGGGCCTGTGCACTAGGGAGCGACCCTAAAACCCACTGGACCTGTGCACTAGGGAGCGACCCTAAAACTCACTGGGCCTGTGCACTAGGGAGCGACCCTAAAACCCACTGGACCTGTGCACTAGGGAGCGACCCTAAAACCTACTGGACCAGTGCACTAGGGAGCGACCCTAAAACCTACTGGGCCTGTGCACTAGGGAGCGACCCTAAAACCCACTGGGCCTGTGCACTAGGGAGCGACCCTAAAACCCACTGGACCTGTGCACTAGGGAGCGACCCTAAAACCCACTGGGCCTGTGCACTAGGGAGCGACCCTAAAACCTACTGGACCAGTGCACTAGGGAGCGACCCTAAAACCCACTGGGCCTGTGCACTAGGGAGCGACCCTAAAACCCACTGGGCCTGTGCACTAGGGAGCGACCCTAAAACCTACTGGACCAGTGCACTAGGGAGCGACCCTAAAACCTACTGGGCCTGTGCACTAGGGAGCGACCCTAAAACCCACTGGACCTGTGCACTAGGGAGCGACCCTAAAACCCACTGGACCTGTGCACTAGGGAGCGACCCTAAAACCCACTGGACCTGTGCACTAGGGAGCGACCCTAAAACCCACTGGACCTGTGCACTAGGGAGCGACCCTAAAACCTACTGGGCCTGTGCACTAGGGAGCGACCCTAAAACCCACTGCGCCTGTGCACTAGGGAGCGACCCTAAAACCCACTGCGCCTGTGCACTAGGGAGCGACCCTAAAACCCACTCGACCTGTGCACTAGGGAGCGACCCTAAAACCCACTGGACCTGTGCACTAGGGAGCGACCCTAAAACCTACTGGACCTGTGCACTAGGGAGCGACCCTAAAACCTACTGGACCAGTGCACTAGGGAGCGACCCTAAAACCTACTGGGCCTGTGCACTAGGGAGCGACCCTAAAACCCACTGGGCCTGTGCTCTAGGGAGCGACCCTAAAACCCAGTGGACCTGTGCACTAGGGAGCGACCCTAAAACCCACTGGACCTGTGCACTAGGGAGCGACCCTAAAACCCACTGGACCTGTGCACTAGGGAGCGACCCTAAAACCCATTGGACCTGTGCACTAGGGAGCGACCCTAAAACCCCCTGGACCTGTGCACTAGGGAGCGACCCTAAAACCCACTGGACCTGTGCACTAGGGAGCGACCCTAAAACCCACTGGACCTGTGCACTAGGGAGCGACCCTAAAACCCATTGGACCTGTGCACTAGGGAGCGACCCTAAAACCCCCTGGGCCTGTGCACTAGGGAGCGACCCTAAAACCTACTGGACCTGTGCACTAGGGAGCGACCCTAAAACCCATTGGACCTGTGCACTAGGGAGCGACCCTAAAACCCCCTGGGCCTGTGCACTAGGGAGCGACCCTAAAACCCCCTGGACCTGTGCACTAGGGAGCGACCCTAAAACCCACTGGACCTGTGCACTAGGGAGCGACCCTAAAACCCACTGGACCTGTGCACTAGGGAGCGACCCTAAAACCCATTGGACCTGTGCACTAGGGAGCGACCCTAAAACCCCCTGGGCCTGTGCACTAGGGAGCGACCCTAAAACCTACTGGACCTGTGCACTAGGGAGCGACCCTAAAACCCACTGAGCCTGTGCACTAGGGAGCGACCCTAAAACCCACTGCGCCTGTGCACTAGGGAGCGACCCTAAAACCCACTGGGCCTGTGCACTAGGGAGCGACCCTAAAACCCACTGAGCCTGTGCACTAGGGAGCGACCCTAAAACCCACTGCGCCTGTGCACTAGGGAGCGACCCTAAAACCCACTGGACCTGTGCACCTCCTGCACTGTAATCATTATCATGTAAACACGTGATGGTTTTATTTGTTTGCCTGGTTCTATTTTTTACTTTTTTACTACTTTTTTACTTTACCCAGTTTGTGACTTCCTGTTTGTCATAATGGGAATAAAAATACTTCTTATTCTGGAAATATTGGAATGTATATTTTAAAATCACACATTTAGTTTCAAACCAAACATTCCACTTTCTAAACCGTTTGGTTGCATCACTCTGTGTTCTTATCACATCTTTTAGATCAGCTGAAGTGAAAAAGAGAGTACCCCTCTCAGCCAATCAGCTCTCAGCTCAGAGAGTCCAACAGTGACTCACAGGGCAGTTATTTACAAGTAAACTGTTTTTGACAACATTTGACTCCAAGGAGACTCTGTTGGGCCGAGAGTGTGACGTGTTCAGACACAGGTACTGCAGCTTTAAGGGATCACAGTGTGACGTGTTCAGACACAGGTACTGCAGCTTTAAGGGATCACAGTGTGACGTGTTCAGACACAGGTACTGCAGCTTTAAGGGATCACAGTGTGACGTGTTCAGACACAGGTACTGCAGCTTTAAGGGATCACAGTGTGACGTGTTCAGACACAGGTACTGCAGCTTTAAGGGATCACAGTGTGACGTGTTCAGACACAGGTACTGCAGCTTTAAGGGATCACAGTGTGACGTGTTCAGACACAGGTACTGCAGCTTTAAGGGATCACAGTGTGACGTGTTCAGACACAGGTACTGCAGCTTTAAGGGATCACAGTGTGACGTGTTCAGACACAGGTACTGCAGCTTTAAGGGATCACAGTGTGACGTGTTCAGACACAGGTACTGCAGCTTTAAGGGATCACAGTGTGACGTGTTCAGACACAGGTACTGCAGCTTTAAGGGATCACAGTGTGACGTGTTCAGACACAGGTACTGCAGCTTTAAGGGATCACAGTGTGACGTGTTCAGACACAGGTACTGCAGCTTTAAGGGATCACAGTGTGACGTGTTCAGACACAGGTACTGCAGCTTTAAGGGATCACAGTGTGACGTGTTCAGACACAGGTACTGCAGCTTTAAGGGATCACAGTGTGACGTGTTCAGACACAGGTACTGCAGCTTTAAGGGATCACAGTGTGACGTGTTCAGACACAGGTACTGCAGCTTTAAGGGATCACAGTGTGACGTGTTCAGACACAGGTACTGCAGCTTTAAGGGATCACAGTGTGACGTGTTCAGACACAGGTACTGCAGCTTTAAGGGATCACAGTGTGACGTGTTCAGACACAGGTACTGCAGCTTTAAGGGATCGACAGCTGATGTTTACTGTGATTATTACTGTGATTATTGGCACAATTTACGACAGAATAATCTTCATGAGACTGAACATAAACCAGGCTTTGATCAGAGTCTTCCACAAACATGAGTCTGAGAAAAAACATCTGTTTCCCATCACCACAGCAGCTGCACCATGTTCTGTCAGAGACTAGAACTACTCTCTATACTCTCACTCTATCTCTCTCGCTCTCTTTCCCCTCTCTCTCTCTCTCTCTCCTCTCCCTCTCCTCTCTTTCCCCTCTCTCTCTCTCTCTCTCCTCTCCCTCTCTCTTTTCCCTCTCTCTCTCCTCTCCCTCTCCTCTCTTTCCCCTCTCTCTCTCTCTCTCTCTCTCTCTCTCTCTCTCCTCTCCCTCTCTCTTTTCCCTCTCTCTCTCCTCTCCCTCTCCCCTCTCTCCTCTCTCTCTTCCCTCTCTCTCTCCTCTCCCTATCTCTCTCCTCTCCCTCTCTCTCTCCCCTCTCTCCCCTCCCTATCTCTCTCCTCTCCCTCTCCCTCTCTCTCTCCCCTCTCTCCCCTCCCTATCTCTCTCCTCTCCCTCTCCCTCTCCCTCTCTCTCTCTCTCTCTTTCTCCCCCATTACTGTCTGTGACATACTGAGTCTGGACTGAAAAACAGAGTAACAAACCCATGACTTCATGCGAGGGGAATGGACCTCAGCCTGAAACATGTTTCTGTGGATTTAAAGCGAGCACATCGTGGGGAACGTTCTGCTCTGAGGCGTCACTGAAGGAAAAGACTCAGACGTGTTTGTTATCGCTGTGAAAAGAGAAGGATCAGACACTCTTCTCAGTCTGTTCTGATGAGCTGTTGAGCCCTTTTCTCTTTTAAACTTTGAGATGACTTTCGTAAAACTCTCCAAAATCAGTCGTGCTGTACTGTGTGTCAGTTGATTATTTTGTGGTTAGAAAGTTAAGTATCCTAGCTTTAGCAGAGTTCCTCTTCTTTTCCACAGACCAGAAGTTTCCCCAGATCAGCAGGAAACGCCACAGCTCAGTCTGAACCACAGAATGTTGTTCTGTGGTCACAAACAGGAAGATCTGCTCTTTCAAAATAAAAGCCCTGTCTGTGCAGTGAATGTTTCCAAACTAACGCGTATTTGTTCAGTTTGTTACTTCTGTGGGAGAACTTTTTATCTGTTTTTTAGCTGGAAAGGAGACCAGAACTGTGTAGAGTAACATTCAGCTGTGGTGGCGTCTTATTTTACAGATTCATTTTATCTGCCCTGCAGTAAAACCACATTGGAACACTCGTGCAAAAGTCGCTTGTATTTGTTTTACCTCTGTCTCATTTTTGGATCAGAGTTTTTTGGCAGAAAAGTGAATAAGAAAAAACGGCAAATGGTGACAGGGATCTTTCTTATGAATATACAAATGGTCACATGTTTTATAAAACTGTTATAGCAACTTTTAGAAGAGTCTGTTGGAAAGGTTTAGGTTCCATAAGAAAATAAAAAAGTCTGGGATCGTGTCACAAAAGCCATGTTTTATTGTTGTAAAGAAGAGTTTTAAAGACCAGAAGCATGATAGACTCTCTGAGCATGTGCGGCGGCGCGGCTATGCTAGCTCGACCTTTAGCTAAAGTGTAAAACCCGCTCCTGCAGAGGTAGAAAGACAAGCTGAGGTTTAACCAAAAGCTTCATAAGTGTCAGATTCATGTGAACTTAAACTAATGTGGGTCTATAGTGATGAAAGTGTTTTGTTTTCAGACCCTGATCCGGACCTCGGGCCCAGAGTGGTGCGTTCAAGTGTCTGTCAGGAGCACACGAATCTCCACAACCGCATGGACACCGTGGAAAAGGTTTGTCCAGGACCGTGTTGTTGCTGTGAAAAACTTTGCAGAGAAGATGAAAGAAAATACTAAAATCAATCTTAGCTGAGTCACTTCACAAAGTATTACATAAGTGAGTTTTTATAAGTTTTTTGATAAGTAGTCCAAGGTTCTGAGTTTTGTGTGTGATAGTTCATGACTTAAAGCTAAAAACATATCTTTCACACACTAAGAACTTTTCAGCAATAATAAAAATAATCATTGTATTTCTGAGCGTGTCCATTATTGATATAACAGTGGTTGATGGTGCCGCTGGTGCTGCTGGTGCAGGTTTAATGGTTTGCCTGCGTCGCCTTCTGCAGACGGTGGAGGACACGCTGCAGCACCTGGAGGGAAACCTGGAGGACCTGCTGGACACCATCCAGGACCCTCGGTGGAGCCCCCTGGTGGACAGCCCAGCCCAAAAGACACTGGACGTCCTGGAAGACCCTCCGTACAGGCCGCAAGAGTGATCTGTGCGAGAGTGATCGTGCGAGAGTGATCGTGCGAGAGTGATTGTGCGATAGTGATCGGTGCGAGAGTGATCGTGCGAGAGTGATTGTGCGAGAGTGATCGTGCGAGAGTGATCTGTGCGAGAGTGATTGTGCGAGAGTGATTGTGCGAGAGTGATCTGTGCGAGAGTGATTGTGCGAGAGTGATTGTGCGAGAGGGATCTGTGCGAGTGTGATTGTGTGAGAGTGATTGTGTGAGAGTGATTGTGCGAGAGTGATTGTGCGAGAGTGATTGTGCGAGAGTGATTGTGCGAGAGTGATCTGTGCAAGAGTGATTGTGCGAGAGTGATTGTGCGAGAGTGATTGTGCGATAGTGATCGGTGCGAGAGTGATTGTGCGAGAGTGATCTGTGCGAGAGTGATTGTGCGAGAGTGATCTGTGCGAGAGTGATCGTGCGAGAGTGATTGTGCGAGAGTGATCGTGCGAGAGTGATCTGTGCGAGAGTGATTGTGCGAGAGTGATTGTGCGAGAGGGATCTGTGCGAGTGTGATTGTGTGAGAGTGATTGTGTGAGAGTGATTGTGCGAGAGTGATTGTGCGAGAGTGATTGTGCGAGAGTGATTGTGCGAGAGTGATCTGTGCGAGAGTGATTGTGCGAGAGTGATTGTGCGATAGTGATCGGTGCGAGAGTGATTGTGCGAGAGTGATCTGTGCGAGAGTGATTGTGCGAGAGTGATCTGTGCGAGAGTGATTGTGCGAGAGTGATCGGTGCGAGAGTGATGGTGCGAGAGTGATTGTGCGAGAATGATTGTGCGAGAGTGATTGTGCGAGAGTGATTGTGCGAGAGTGATTGTGCGAGAGTGATTGTGCGAGAGTGATTGTGCGAGAGTGATTGTGCGAGAGTGATTGTGCGAGAGTGATTGTGCGAGAGTGATCTGTGCGAGAGTGATCTGTGAGAGAGTGATTGTGCGAGAGTGATTGTGCGAGAGTGATTGTGCGAGAGTGATTGTGCGAGAGTGATTGTGCGAGAGTGATTGTGCGAGAGTGATTGTGCGAGAGTGATTGTGCGAGAGTGATTGTGCGAGAGTGATCTGTGCGAGAGTGATCTGTGCGAGAGTGATCTGTGAGAGAGTGATCTGTGCGAGAGTGATCTGTGAGAGAGTGATTGTGCGAGAGTGATCGTGCGAATCACAAAGAGAGAGACATGGGATTGAGAGAGCGATTGGAATTGACCTGGTGTTTTATTATAAATGCTTTCTCTCAAAAAGCTTTAATGATGATGATGTAAAGGAGATGTTTGGCTTTGGGGTCGAATCCCTTGTTAAAGTTGGTAAATGTAGATTAAGAAGAAGCTGAGGTTTGGAGCTGAGATGAAAGACAGAGAACCCAAATTATTCTGTAGATTTCAAGTTAGACCTTGTTCTCCAGACCATTAATACTGTATGTACTTTTAAACACTTACAAAGGACTTATCTAACTCCACACAGGGGCGGAGCTACCATTAGTCAAGTGGAGGGTCCTGTTTGGGGCCCCCTAATACCAGGGAGCCCCACCAAGAACTGATCTCTCTGAAATGTATAAAGCCTGATTGTTTTGTTCTGATAATAAACAGTAAAACAGCACAAAGGTTTTCTAAAACCTTTTTTCTTTTTTTATGTATGAGTAATGGCCCTGCCCTCGTATCTTCAGTGGTCAATGAAATGTTCTTATTTATTTGAGTGGAGAAATATAGAAAAACAATGCAAAAAGTATTAAATATGTTTCTCTAAAATATCCACCAATAAGAAGCCACCAGGTCTTCATCTGTACCCAGGTCCATGAAAGGGGCCCCGTCCCCCAGTGTTGCCTCTGGCCCTAATCAGCTGAGTCCGCCCCTGTCCACACAGACTGTTTACCGACCTGGACTTAGAGCCATGGAGGCGCTGCTGGGACCTCCCTCCACATGGTCTGGAGGAGGACCATAGAGCCATGGAGGCGCTGCTGGGACCCTAACCCTAACCCTAACCCATCTTACTCAGACCACCTTAACCCTAACCTTAACCATCTTACTCAGACCCACCTTAACCCTAACCTTAACCATCTTACTCAGACCCACCTTAACCCTAACCTTAACCATCTTACTCAGACCCACCTTAACCCTAACCTTAACCATCTTACTCAGACCCACCTTAACCCTAACCTTAACCATCTTACTCAGACCCACCTTAACCCTAACCTTAACCATCTTACTCAGACCACCTTAACCCTAACCTTAACCATCTTACTCAGACCACCTTAACCCTAACCTTAACCATCTTACTCAGACCACCTTAACCCTAACCTTAACCATCTTACTCAGACCCACCTTAACCCTAACCTTAACCATCTTACTCAGACCACCTTAACCCTAACCTTAACCATCTTACTCAGACCACCTTAACCCTAACCTTAACCATCTTACTCAGACCACCTTTAACCCTAACCTTAACCATCTTACTCAGACCACCTTAACCCTAACCTTAACCATCTTACTCAGACCACCTTAACCCTAACCTTATCCATCTTACTCAGACCCACCTTAACCCTAACCTTAACCATCTTACTCAGACCACCTTAACCCTAAACTTAACCATCTTACTCAGACCCACCTTAACCCTAACCTTAACCATCTTACTCAGACCACCTTAACCCTAACCTTAACCATCTTACTCAGACCACCTTAACCCTAACCTTAACCATCTTACTCAGACCCACCTTAACCCTAACCTTAACCATCTTACTCAGACCCACCTTAACCCTAACCTTAACCATCTTACTCAGACCACCTTAACCCTAACCTTAACCATCTTACTCAGACCACCTTAACCCTAACCTTAACCATCTTACTCAGACCACCTTAACCCTAACCTTAACCATCTTACTCAGACCACCTTAACCCTAACCTTAACCATCTTACTCAGACCCACCTTAACCCTAACCTTAACCATCTTACTCAGACCCACCTTAACCCTAACCTTAACCATCTTACTCAGACCCACCTTAACCCTAACCTTAACCATCTTACTCAGACCACCTTAACCCTAACCTTAACCATCTTACTCAGACCCACCTTAACCCTAACCTTAACCATCTTACTCAGACCACCTTAACCCTAACCTTAACCATCTTACTCAGACCACCTTAACCCTAACCTTAACCATCTTACTCAGACCACCTTAACCCTAACCTTAACCATCTTACTCAGACCACCTTAACCCTAACCTTAACCATCTTACTCAGACCACCTTAACCCTAACCTTAACCATCTTACTCAGACCCACCTTAACCCTAACCTTAACCATCTTACTCAGACCACCTTAACCCTAACCTTAACCATCTTACTCAGACCACCTTAACCCTAACCTTAACCATCTTACTCAGACCCACCTTAACCCTAACCTTAACCATCTTACTCAGACCACCTTAACCCTAACCTTAACCATCTTACTCAGACCACCTTAACCCTAACCTTAACCATCTTACTCAGACCACCTTAACCCTAACCTTAACCATCTTACTCAGACCCACCTTAACCCTAACCTTAACCATCTTACTCAGACCACCTTAACCCTAACCTTAACCATCTTACTCAGACCACCTTAAACCTAACCTTAACCATCTTACTCAGACCACCTTAACCCTAACCTTAACCATCTTACTCAGACCACCTTAACCCTAACCTTAACCATCTTACTCAGACCATCTTAACCCTAACCTTAACCCATCTTACTCAGACCACCTTAACCCTAACCTTAACCATCTTACTCAGACCCACCTTAACCCTAACCTTAACCATCTTACTCAGACCACCTTAACACTAACCTTAACCATCTTACTCAGACCACCTTAACCCTAACCTTAACCATCTTACTCAGACCACCTTAACCCTAACCTTAACCATCTTACTCAGACCCACCTTAACCCTAACCTTAACCATCTTACTCAGACCCACCTTAACCCTAACCTTAACCATCTTACTCAGACCACCTTAACCCTAACCTTACCCATCTTACTCAGACCACCTTAAACCTAACCTTAACCATCTTACTCAGACCACCTTAAACCTAACCTTAACCATCTTACTCAGACGCCTAAAACTTAACCAGTCACCATTTAAGGACTTGTTTGTCTAAAACTAATTCGAAAGTAGGATTGTTACTTCCGGTTTCGTCCCCATTCCGTTTATGATCTAGTGCCGACCCTGGTATATTTTCTATGATCCCAGTACAGGGCTAGCACAGTATGTATCCACAGTTATCAAATGTAATTATTATTTACAGAATATTACCAAAGAAATCCCTCACTTTAAGCCATACAGTCTGCAGAACTTTGGTTAAAAACTGTTGTATTTAATTTATACATTTTCTGTTTCTAAAAATCAGTCCACGATAAAGAAAAATGCTTAGCTGTTAAGAAAAACCGTTGCCATAGCGACCTCTGTGCGTTGGTATTTGTAGGAATTGATTTAGTTTTGTCATAACTCTTCAGATTTGTATATTTTTAAAGTTCCAAATACATCTGAGGCATTGCTTCCTGAAAGGTTAAGGGACAACAGAAGAACACTATTTAAAATTGTTTACAATATTGTGCTGAAGAAGGAAGTGAAAGTGAAAGTGGTTCAGATTTTATGGATGATCAATAGAGAAATCGATCCACTCAAAAGACAAACCTTGGGTGAAGATGCTCGATGTTTGGCTTCCTGGAATGTTTCACAAAATGGTCCATATCTTTTGTAAGATCTTGTACATGCTTCTTTCTATTTTCCTCCGCTTTACCTGGGCCTGGGTTGCAGAGGCAGCAGTCTGAGCAGACTTTTCACATCTGAATCCAGCTAAAATGTCTAATTTCTTGCCATTGTTAGTATTGAATTGTTTTCATTTCAATTCCATTTATTTTTGTACTGCCCAAAATCACAACAGTTGTTCTCTTGAAGGACTTCACAAAAAGTCAATTTGCCAACACAGATCAGAGAATCAAACGGTTGAAACAGAGGAAATGCAATGATTACCAACACATATCGCCATTGGTTCATAAGGGATGAATGACCAATGTTCATAAATGTCACTTTTGGGGCATAACATATATAAAAAGATTTATTTCACTTGACCAAACCTGGAGTTTCCCTGTCACACAAAATATAAACTTAAAGTACAAGAAAAAGACAGTTTTTTTCTTGCTGAATCTTCTCTACTCTACTCCCATGCTACGTTATACCATTTGTGAAACATTTCAGGCAATGGACACAATCTTTTCAAATGTGTATTTCCTCATTGTATTGAATATAAACTTTTGATTGGCTGCTTTGACTAAACTCGAGTGAAGTACCGAGTTTAAGTATTGAGTTATGATGTTATGTTGCTGTTTATCGATCCTGATGGTCACACGTGAATGTGTGACCAGAGGGGGGAATGTGAGATTTCATAACACTTTGAAGCAACTTTTGTTAAGGTTAAACTCATCATTCTATCAATGTGCAGAAGCCTGTACTTTTCCACGTCATGTTTTGACTATCTCTGCTGGCACCGTGGCAGCTGCTGATTGGAGGACTTCATTCTCCCATGCTATATTATCACTAACAGTTTGTTACATCCTTCGTTCGTGTGTTTTGTTCGTGCTGTCTCTACCATCGACAATAAAACATGTCTTCTGTCTGAATGAAAGACGCGATCCCAGACTTTGCCATCTTCTTCAGAGGCATTATTGAGTGTCTGTGCTGTTTTAAGTCTTTGCATGAACATTTGTCTTCTCAGAAACAACATTGTGGATAATAAAATGAAAAGAGTGAAAAATGAAGCACATGTTTTTATTTTGATTGAAAACAAGAATATGAATCTATAGCTCTATGGGAATGATAAAGGACTAACAATAGTATATTAACATGAAGACCAGCATAAAAAACTTTATTCTGTTTACTATTTGGTATTTGTTAAAATCTGGTATACATATATACATTATCGATCCATGACATACACACCTAAGTGACATAAGGAAAACATATAGATAGGATTGAAGATACAACAAATATTAATCAGAATATAGCTACAGCCATTTCATATTTATCTAATATAAATCATTCATTTGTATTTATATTTTCGAAATTATTCATATATATATACATTATTTTTAACCTTAGTCCATGATTTATATTTATATTTTAATCAGCGTATTTATATGATGTATTGTTTTTACCGTTTCCTCTGTTGTCGTCGTTGCCATAGTAACCTTCCCGCGTCTCCGCGCTGCGTCTCGTGCTTGTTCCGTTAGGGCTCAAAAGTCGTTTAGGTTTTTTGGTTGGTTTTTGCCTTTTACTCCGACCAAAAGGAGGATGTCTGCGGAGGACACGGCCCAGAGCAGAGCCTCAGCCGCGGCTCTCAAGGCCTTTCTCCTGAAGTCCAGCAGCAAGACCAGCGGCAACGTGTGAGCTAACGGAGCTAACAGGGAACTAGCTTGTTATTAGCTTGGTATTAGAACGAATTGTTATTAAATCAGCTTGTTATTAAATCAGCTTGTTAATAAATTAGCTTTCTATTAGCAGGGCTTCAGCTGTCTAGGTAAGGCTAGTTTAGTTGTTCAGATCTTACACAAGGCAACTCAAAGTGCTTTACAAAACAAGAATAGAAACATTAAATCACTCAAGAAATTACTATGAACTAAATAGTCATAATACATTAAAAACCAGGACTCGAGTCAGTCCCTGTGCTCCTCAGAGTCCCAGCAGGAGTCCAGTCCCTGTGCTCCTCAGAGTCCCAGCAGGAGTCCAGTCCCTGTGCTCCTCAGAGTCCCAGCAGGAGGCCAGTCCCTGTGCTCCTCAGAGTCCCAGCAGGAGGCCAGTCCCTGTGCTCCTCAGAGTCCCAGCAGGAGTCCAGTCCCTGTGCTCCTCAGAGTCCCAGCAGGAGGCCAGCCCATGTGCTCCTCAGAGTCCCAGCAGGAGGCCAGTCCCTGTGCTCCTCAGAGTCCCAGCAGGAGGCCAGTCCCTGTGCTCCTCAGATTCCCAGCAGGAGGCCAGTCCCTGTGCTCCTCAGAGTCCCAGCAGAAGTCCAGTCCCTGTGCTCCTCAGAGTCCCAGCAGGAGTCCAGTCCCTGTGCTCCTCAGAGTCCCAGCAGGAGGCCAGTCCCTGTGCTCCTCAGATTCCCAGCAGGAGGCCAGTCCCTGTGCTCCTCAGAGTCCCAGCAGGAGGCCAGTCCCTGTGCTCCTCAGAGTCCCAGCAGGAGGCCAGTCCCTGTGCTCCTCAGAGTCCCAGCAGGAGGCCAGTCCCTGTGCTCCTCAGAGTCCCAGCAGGAGGCCAGTCCCTGTGCTCCTCAGAGTCCCAGCAGGAGGCCAGTCCCTGTGCTCCTCAGAGTCCCAGCAGGAGTCCAGTCCCTGTGCTCCTCAGAGTCCCAGCAGGAGGCCAGTCCCTGTGCTCCTCAGAGTCCCAGCAGGAGGCCAGTCCCTGTGCTCCTCAGAGTCCCAGCAGGAGACCAGTCCCTGTGCTCCTCAGAGTCCCAGCAGGAGGCCAGTCCCTGTGCTCCTCAGAGTCCCAGCAGGAGGCCAGTCCCTGTGCTCCTCAGAGTCCCAGCAGGAGTCCAGTCCCTGTGCTCCTCAGAGTCCCAGCAGGAGTCCAGTCCCTGTGCTCCTCAGAGTCCCAGCAGGAGTCCAGTCCCTGTGCTCCTCAGAGTTCCAGCAGGAGGATACTAAAGCAATTTTCATACAAAAATGTAATTCATAGTGCTTTACAGTTTGCTTAATCCCAAATGTACCTTAATGCAACAACTCAACAGACCCACCCCAAAGACCTTGAAACCAGTAAGAGAACCTTAGCATTGATCCTGAAACACATGGGGAGCCAATGTAGTGATTTTAAAACCAGTGCAATGTAGTCCCGCTCTCTGGTCTTAGTCAGTTTTTTTATTGTTGTAAACCTCAAATGTTCTTTTTGAGAAGATGTGAGAGCAAGACATTACAGGAGTCTGGTGATAAAATCCTGTAGCAGCGTCTCTGGGCCCAAGAGCTCCATACACTTTACTCTTTACTCTGGTGTTAATGTGGTGCTTGTGCTGCAGCTATGACCACCTGACACAAGTGCTGGTGAAGATCATGGAGGAGCGTCCGGCGGATGCGGTGGATGTGATTGAGGACATTAGCCGCGACGTGAAGCGGGCGCTGTACGTGGACTCGCAGAGCACTCTGAGAGACCTGAGCGAGGAGACACCAGTGGAGACCATGGCCCAGCAACAACAAGACCTGTTCAAGCCGCCACCAGAGGGCGACCAAGAGTATGAGCTGGTAACCATGACTACACTGATGAAGTCTCTCTGTCTCCAGATTCCTCACAGGTCACATCAGACTGTCACGGGAACAAAGAGAAGACTTTAAACTATTCTAGTATAGCACTTCACCGCCACCCCAAACATCTTAAAGATGGGATAGCTAACTTTTTTGTTTCACAATAACCCATTTATAATATATGGAGGACCAAAAATGACTAAAGTATAAATAAATAAATAAATACAGGAATATATTAATAAATACATTCATTTTGGACAATAAAAACTAAATATTTACATTGATATGTTAAATATTACTATGAAATCAAATAAATATACTTTTATTTAGGTTATTTATCAATATCTACATTTTGTCCTTTCTTTATTTATCCATTTATTGCATATATTTATTTATGTATTTCTACATTTCTTCATTTATTTATTTATGTATTTCTACATTTCTTCATTTATTTATTTATGTATTTCTACATTTCTTCATTTATTTATTTGTGTATTTCTGTGTCGCTACATTTCTTCATTTATTTATTTATGTATTTCTACATTTCTTCATTTATTTATTTGTGTATTTCTGTGTCGCTACATTTCTTCATTTATTTATTTATGTATTTCTACATTTCTTCATTTATTTATTTATGTATTTCTGTGTCGCTACATTTCTTCATTTATTTATTTATGTATTTCTACATTTCTTCATTTATTTATTTATGTATTTCTGTGTCGCTACATTTCTTCATTTATTTATTTATGTATTTCTACATTTCTTCATTTATTTATTTATGTATTTCTGTGTCGCTACATTTCTTCATTTATTTATTTATGTATTTCTACATTTCTTCATTTATTTATTTATGTATTTCTACATTTCTTCATTTATTTATTTATGTATTTCTACATTTCTTCATTTATTTATTTGTGTATTTCTGTGTCGCTACATTTCTTCATTTATTTATTTATGTATTTCTACATTTCTTCATTTATTTATTTATGTATTTCTGTGTCGCTACATTTCTTCATTTATTTATTTATGTATTTCTACATTTCTTCATTTATTTATTTGTGTATTTCTGTGTCGCTACATTTCTTAATTTATTTATTTATGTATTTCTACATTTCTTCATTTATTTATTTATGTGTTTCTGTGTCGCTACATTTCTTCATTTATTTATTTATGTATTTCTACATTTCTTCATTTATTTATTTATGTATTTCTACATTTCTTCATTTATTTATTTATGTATTTCTACATTTCTTCATTTATTTATTTATGTATTTCTACATTGGACAGGTGTTGCAAATTAGCAGTTTTGCTATAACACTGGAAACAATGTATCTGGTTTGTCCAATGCAGTTGATATGTCCATATCAAATAAACTAATAATAATAATTTCTTCATTTATTTATTTATGTATTTCTACATTTCTTCATTTATTTATTTGTGTATTTCTGTGTCGCTACATTTCTTCATTTATTTATTTATGTATTTCTACATTTCTTCATTTATTTATTTATGTGTTTCTGTGTCGCTACATTTCTTCATTTATTTATTTATGTGTTTCTGTGTTGCCGTATGCTAATTAGTCGGCGGTGCTGAACTCAATCAATAGCAGGATTGGTGGGCAGTAGCTCAGCCAGGGCAACCAGACAGAAGGTAAAAAATAGGATTTACGGCCAAAGTTAGCCTTCTCGGTTTGTGAGAGGATGTGAAGCTGCTGCTTGTTGAAGAGCGTCCAGCACAGTTGCATCAAAGTCTACCTCTGGGTCAGCACTGTGATGAACTAAAACATCTAATAGTCTTTCCAGCCGAAAGAGTAGATAGTCCTCAGGTGCATTATGCTCAACATCATTAACATCATTTGCTAATGCTCTTAATTGATGAGCAATGGCTCCTAAAAACTTACATTCGAAACTGCCATCATACCACACAAAAGTGCACAGAGGATCTCTAGCTACAGTAGCTAACAGAGTACCGTAATGTGAGGCAGGAATGATCGAGACCAGAGTTCACGCAATCCTAACCAATCCTGTTCTAGATTGAGTTCAGCACCGCCCACCTAATTAGCATACAGGAACACAAAAATACATAAATAAATAAATGAAGAAATGTAGAAATACACAAATAAATAAATGAAGAAATGTAGAAATACATAAATAAATATATGCAATAAATGGATAAATAAATAAAGGAAAAAATGTAGATATTGAAAAATAACCTAAATAAAAGTATATTTATTTGATTTCAGAGTAATATTTAGCATATCTATGTAAATATTTAGTTTTTATTGTACAAAATGAATGTATTTATTAATATATTCCTGTATTTATTTATTTATTTATACTTTAGTCATTTTTGGTCCTCCATAATAATAACCCTGTTGCTCCTAGAGAAAGAGTCTTGTAAAAGTAAAATCAGACCACAACATGCCTGGGTGAAAGCCCTGTGAGTCACTATTTGAGGCTTTGGGCTGAGAGCTGAGTCAGGGTGGTCCACTTTTTTCACTTCCTGGCAAAAACAAGTGATCGAATCAAACATTTTAAGACATAGTTCCAGTTTCGTGACATAACTTTCACTTTTTGTCTGTGATAAAAAAGCTAAATAGATCTGATGTCCACTGGCTGTTATGACCAATTGGGAATAGATTTCAATGTTCAAATGTGTATGATAACAATTAAAACATGTACTGTATGGTTCTTTACACAAAATGTATGAAAGTTATACAATGTGTGTGTGTGTGTGTGTGTGTGTGTATGTGTGTGTATCTGTGTGTGTGTGTGTGTGTTTGTGTGTGTATCTGTGTGTATGTGCGTCTGTGTGTGTGTATGTGTGTGTGTGTATGTGTGTTTGTGTGTGTGTATCTGTGTGTGTGTGCGTCTGTGTTTGTGTGTGTGTGTTTGTGTGTGTGCTGCAGGCAGAGCCCGCCCTCCCCAACCTGCCGGAGGTGGGCTTCTACCTGGCGCAGCTGGGGGTGTCCGTGGGCGAGGACCTGCAGCGCCTCTTCCTGTCTCTGAAGCAGCTGGTGGACTCTCACGCTCTGCACCGCTGCCGATTCTGGGGCAAGATCATCGGGACGGAGAGGAACTACTTCATCGCAGAGGCCGAGTACAGAGAAGGAGAGGAGGAGGAGGAGGAGCAGAACGCAGAGGAGGCGCCTGGAGAGGAGCAGGAGAAACAGGACACAGAGGTGAACACGGCACTAAACTAACAGTAGATGAGTTGGAATGACTTAAATAACATGTGTTATGCATGTCTTGCTTTTGAGTATAATTACATGTTATTCCTCAATTTGAAGCCAGTTATTGCAGGAAAACAACCAATTATTTGATTTACTCTGAACACTGAACCCAAAACTTTGTAGTAATTATTAAAGAATGAAGCTAACTAGCACATAAGCATTAGCACCAAACCTGTTTTTTTGAGGCTGTTAGATAAAGAAAAATCAAATAAAAACATTTTAATCCACAATTGGCCAGTCGACTTTGAGGAAATCGGTTACGGTCACTCTCTATATATAATATTAGGATAAACATATATGAAAAATGTTACACATTTAACAATCAGTCTAACTTTGTCTGACCTGGCACAGATTTTATTCCCCAAACAAATTGAGACGATTCTTTAGAGCAGTGTCTCCCAAAGTGGGGTCCGCGGCCCCCTGGTGGGCCGCGATGGTACTGCAGGGGGGCCGCGGGAGGTCATAAAAAAAATAAAAAAATAATATAATTATTTAATGTTAAATTTATAATGTTTTGTTTGTAATATTAAAATATTTGTGTTCATTATTTGACTTGAATAATCCACTGTAATCATTTTTGTATTACAATGTTTGTAGCAGAGGCTATTTCCCCAAAATAAAATAACCAGAAGAGCCTATTCTTAATGTTGTCTTCTTGGTTATTATTTTGGGGGGCCACTCAGACCCGTCAGATTTTTAAGGGGGCCTCGGTGTTACTGAGTTTGGGAATGGCTGCTTTAGAGGAATGAAGGAAAGGTCAGGTGAGGTAAAATGTTGAGAACAAACGAGGCCACAGCTGTTTTCATCTTTTTAGAAAACATTCTTTGTAAACTTGTACAAAATTTCCTGTGAGCTGATTGGCTGAATGAGGGTGTCTGAAAACGTTGATACAAACTAATGATAGAATAGGAAGTTTTTGAGAGCAAGGAAGATAAGATACTGTCGGGGATAAACCAGACAGAGACGGATCGTGGTGTGCCAAACTCTGGAAGTTTATTTAAGTTTCTCTCAAGTTCCACTGGTTTACTCTGTTTCTTTCTCTCAGACAGAATAAAGGCAGTACACAGTTTATATAGTCATTGTCACGTCACACATCGAAAGACATACGTGTCACAAAGAGACAGTCACATCATAGTCATAACATGGAGTCATTGTAGAGTCCTTGTACAGTCCTGCACGTAGGCCATATTGCTATCTAATACTAACACCCTCCCCTTTGATCACATAATCACATGTGATCACTCAAATCGATCAATCAATAAAGTGGAAAAAGGAAAAAAAAAAAAATTCCAAAAAAAACTTTAAAAAATTATTAAAAACAAAGAAAATGTATGCATTAAACTCATAATCATCAAATCAATATCAGTGGATTTTATCCTCTATCCTGGGAAAAAACTAAACAAACAAAAAACAAATCAAAAATAAAAACAAACAAAAACAAAAACAAACAAAAACTATTGGACACACAAGAACTCAGCAGATTCAGTCAAAACACAGACAAAAACGAGCTGAGTCTCAAATTAGAAGCTAATTTCACTTTTCTTACTCTATACTTTTATTCTAATGATAATTGTTTACACTACACTTCACTGTATTATTTTCACTTTTCAATCTTAGACTGTGTACTTTACTTTTACTATTCACTATAGTTTAAAACTATTCTAATCTATTTACAAATATGTGTTGCATATTTGCTTCTATTGAGCCATATTCTTAAACATACATTTTAATCTAACAAATCTCTCTGTGGTTTACTTTCATTATCAGTGGCTTATTATCAGTGGGATTTTGCTCCATGTCTATTCTCATTCTCAGGAATAAAACTGTGAACACAGTAAGGCAAATGGTCAACATTTACACTTCTATAGTGGTCAGTGATTTATTACTTTTTATTATCTAAAGATATTATTGTCAGGCAGTTTGGGATGAATGTACATCATTAATCAAATTAGTATTATCCTAATAGTAGCTAATTAGGTTTGGGGTTGGGGTCAGTTATTCTACAATGGTATTTCACCTTGGAGAGACCCATGAGGAAAACGCATTAGACTTATTAGATTTAAGCATGTTTATTGATTGAGCATGTTTGGCGCCCTAGGCCCGGGCGGGATGCTGTTGAGCACGGCGCTTGCTCGCGTGCATGATCCCCAAAAAGCGGGCCTGCGATTGGGATAGCAGGACGCACTGCGCGGGCCTGAGAGCATGAGCGAGCTGAGAACATGCGCGCACGCGCATGTTCAGCCAGCCGCTGTAGCAGAGGAATCTTTGAGCGAACTGAGAACATGCGCGCACGCGCATGTTCAGCCAGCCGCAGCAGAGGAATCTTTGAGCGAACTGAGAACATGCGCGCTCGCGCATGTTCAGCCAGCCGCAGCAGAGGAATCCTTGAGCGAACTGAGAACATGCGCGCTCGCGCATGTTCAGCCAGCCGCAGCAGAGGAATCCTTGAGCGAACTGAGAACATGCGCGCTCGCGCATGTTCAGCCAGCCGCAGCAGAGGAATCTTTGAGCGAACTGAGAACATGCGCGCACGCGCATGTTCAGCCAGCCGCAGCAGAGGAATCTTTGAGCGAACTGAGAACATGCGCGCACGCGCATGTTCAGCCAGCCGCAGCAGAGGAATCTTTGAGCGAGCTGAGAATATGAGCGCACGCTCATATTCAGCCAGACGCTGAAGCAAGGAATCTTTGAGCGTTTGAGGAAAGTGCGTGCCGCCACCAGAATCTTATTGCTTACTTGCTTTGCTGGGAGCTTACGAGGAAGCCGGTAGACGTTGTGCTGCCATGATAGCGGTCGCATCTGGCCTGATGTAGGTGGAGAAGCCGAAGAGGACCAGCGCCCCAGCTGTTGCAGAGAAGAGTGGGGGAGCCCCAGCGAGGTCGCGCGCGTGGCAGCGCCTATCCTGTGGCAGCGCCTATCCTGAAGGAGTGGGCTGTATAGAGCTGGGGAGACAAATTGCAGACTTCAGAAGGAGCAGTAGTGATCTTAGTCGAGCTCTGAACCAGGTTGCTGTCATGGGAAGAGTGTCTGGAGTGAGAAAGAGGTCCGTTAAGATTTCCTTTTTGCAGCGGAGGCGAGTGTAACGCATCATGGACCTGTAGGGGCAGAGAGATGTGTCCGAGCGAGCTGTTACTATATTGCAGGCTCCTTGATTTTTGAATGTTTGAGACGGAGGTTGAAATGGTCAGGGGACATTATGTTGGGTGAAAAGAGCGACCTTTGTGTAATGCTTCCACTACGTCGAGATTATCCCACGTGACAGAGATCCTCTCTCTGCCACGTGTGATTCCACAGCGCGCAGGCCACGACCACTGGGAATATCACGTGTAGGGCAGAGGAGATGCTCCGGTGGAAAGTAGCGGCCACGCTCGGCAACCAGTGGTCCTGGAAGAATCCCCCAAAAACCCACGGAAGGGGCAGCGTCCGTGTAGAAGCGGAGACCTGTAGGGGCAGAGACATGTCGGAGAGGGCCATTGATGTTGCAGGCGCCCTTACGCTTGAAACCTTGGGTTGGAGAGTAGATAATCAGGATAGTGGATGGTCGGGAAAGCCGTGTTCCGGACCGCATGAAGGTTGAGTGAGCAATGGTGAAACGCTTACGCAGAGAAGCCATAGAAGGAGAGCAGGAAGATGCTGCGAGGAGGGCGGACATGTACTTGGGAGATGAGCCGGAGTTCAGCGCCGCTGCAGGATGGACAGCATGATGGGGAGCCTGCGATCAGAAGAGTGAAGAATACAGGTATGGATGCCTTTGATTAGGAGTCCGATTGACGGCTCAGCGCAGCTACTCGGCCAGCTGCATCTGATAGAATCAGAAGATTAAGTAGAGAGATGAAGCATGACCGCCGAAGCGACCCTGGGAGCATAGGTGCGAGTCCAGCGCAGCGCGGCATGCTCAGCCGGGCTGCAACCATTAGAAGCAGGATAAGCTTCTGAGAGAGTGGGTTGCAGCAGTAGCAGCAGCGGCAGCAGCAGTAACCTCAGAAAATAACGGCAATAGTCCTGTATCAAGCCGCGACGGTAGCAGCAGCAGCAGCAGCGTCCTTAGAGAATAACAGTAATATCCTGTATCAAGCCACAGCAGTAGAATGTTGTAGTAGCTGCTCAGTGTTTCAGTAAAAGAGATGCAAGTGAAGAGATGGCAAGGTAAGTGAAGCAGCAGCAGCAGTAGTAGCAGCAGTAGCCGTATGAAGCAGCAGCAGTAGCAGTAGCAGTATGAAGCAGCAGCAGCAGTAGCAGTATGAAGCAGCAGCAGCTGCAGCATCCGTCGATAATAGCAGCAATAATCCTGTATCAAAGCCAGAGCAGTAGAATAAGTTGTAGCTGTTTAGTGTTTCAGTAAAAGAGATGCAAAGTGAAGAGAGATGTCAAAGTACATGAAGCAGCAGCAGCAGCGCAGCAGTAGCAGCAGCAGTAACGGTAGCAGTATGAAGCAGCAGAAGCAGCATTAGCAGTAGCAGCAGTAGCAGTATGAAGCAGCAGCGGTTGCAGCATCCGTAGATAATAACAGCAATAATCCTGTATCAAAGCCAGAGCAGTAGAATATTGTTGTAGCTGTTTAGTGTTTCAGTAAAAGAGATGCCAAGTGAAGAGAGATGTCAAGTACATGAAGCAGCAGCAGCACGGCAGCAGATGCAGTATGAAGCAGCAGCGGCAGCAGTAGCAGCAGTAACGGTAGCAGCATGAAGCAGCAGCAGCAGCAGCGGTTGCAGCATCCGTAGATAATAACAGCAATAATCCTGTATCAAGCCACCGCAGTAGAATATAGTTGAAGCTGTTTAGTGTTTCAGTAAAAGAGATGCGCAGTGAAGAGAGGTGTCAAGTAAAGAAGCAGCAGCAGCACGGAAGCGGTAGCAATATGAAGCAGGAGCGGCAGCAATAGCAGCAGTAGCGGCAGCAGAAGCAGCAAGCAGCAGCAGCACAATGCGATTCATACGAACAACAGACGT